ACCAGGGACTGGTGTAAGCATGTGACCCCTAATTACTCTTTTAATCCCCACACCATGAGGGAGATGTTATTACCCCCTTCAGAGATGAGGAAACCAGGCAAGGGAGTTAATTACACGTCCAAGGTCAGAGGGACAGAAAGTTGCAAAATTAGAATTGGAAACTAGGCAGACTGCGTCCAAAGTCCAGCTTTTAACCACTGCTTTGTATTGTCACCCACCGCAGCGCAGGCCCCCGCAGGTGCTCCAGAATGACCACAGCGCCTGAACACTGGCACAGGCATGGCTATGCATCTTCTCATGCCCTTGCGCGTGCACACACACACACACACACACACACACAACCCAGGACAACCACATCAACGACCAACATCAGCTGCTGGCACAGGCATGGCTATGCATCTTCTCATGCCCTTGCGCGCGCGCACACACACACACACACCCCAGGACAAACACATCAACGACCAACATCAGCTGCTGCCAATACGAATTCCAGGAGACAGTGGGATCCTACACAAGGCGGGTTCTGGGCCATCCTCGTGTGTTCACGAGGAAACATGGGGGTCCTGGGCTCTGCCTGGGGCCAGGGCAGGAAAGCGCCAGGGAGGCTGGCAGGAGGACAGAGCGCTGGCTTGGAGCCAAGCAGCAAGCTGGGCTGCAGCCTCAGAGTTGCCTGTAGAGGGCGGTGTGTGCCAGTGTCGGGCAGCACCCTGCCAAGCCCCGTTACTCCGCCCGACCCCTCCAAACTGCGAGACTCACCACCCACCAGCCGGCCCCCAAGCTCATTTGTTCTTTCTTTCATTCAAAAAAACATGTACCAGCCAGGCACCTATTCCATGACCTTCTATGACAGACAGCATCATACACAAATGTACAAACTGTAGCGGGTACCCCAACATTCCAAGACCCAAGGTATGAGTGTGGGGAGGGAGCAGTTGGGGGGGGGGGTGATCTGTAAAAGAGAGGAGGAAGGAAGAGGAGGGACTGGCCAGGAAAGCTCAGGCTTCTGGAATGATCACATCTGAAAATGAACTGTCTTTTCACTGGGCTCCAAAGTGCATTTAAAGGTGCCCAGCCGCTCCCTCCTCTCCCCAAAATAAAAGCGAGCAGGGTGTGCCTCGTTTAGAGCTCTCCCTCTGCCAGTCACTGGGCCTCAGTTTCTCCAGCTGTCTCATAGGAGGAAAGGCAGGCCAAAGCCGCAGGGGACCTTGCCAGGCCCCACCCGGTTTCCAAGGAACTGGGCGCGCAGTCGAGGTACCCCTCCCGCGCCGCCAAAGGGTTCCTCCGAAGCCTGTGGTCAACCCGCCGCTTCCTGGGAAGCCCAAGCTAAGACCAGGGACAGCGACAGGCAGAGAGGGATGCGGAGGCGGCGATCTAGAGGCTCCGGGACGAGGTGGGCAGGGCGATGGAGGCAACAGTCCCGAGGGGTCCCAGGTGAGACCAGGGATAGGGTGGAGGTGCCCGGCTCAAGAGTAGAGGACACAGGTCTACCAGAGATGGGTGCTGAGACACCTGGAGGAGGTGACGGGTGTGTCAGGGCCAGTCCGGAGTATCCTAATGGGCTTGCCGGCAGAAATCTGCGACCGAAGGCAGTGGGGGTACCGGAGGGCCGCCAGGTCCGACAGGGGGGTTGCTGAGAAGCGCCCCGGAGGTTCAAGGGCAGAGCTAGAGACCTTGACAGACGGGTCCTAGGACAGGTGCGAGGCTAGGTCAGGGCTGGGGGACCTCCCCGGGGAGGGGTCCCGGATTTGTGGGAAAAGTCGAGCGGCCCCGGCCTCCGAGGTGCGCAGAAAAAGAAACCGAAAGTGGCGCGGAAGGGCGGGCCTGGAGGGGGCGGAGCCGTCAGGGGCGGGGCCTCGCAAACCCCACGCCTCCAAGCCGGTTTAAAAGACTGGTGCAGGGGCGGGCGCGCACCAGAAAGAGCTGCGGCCGTGGCAGCTGCACGGCTCCCGGCACCGGAGCATGCGCGAGAGCCGCCCCGGAGACCCCCGCCGCCCCGCCCGCGGCGACCCGCGCCCCGCCGCCAGGTGAGACGGACGCTGGGCGACGAAGCTGGAGGGAGAGGGGAGGAACGCACGGGACCCCCCGGGGCCGCGGCGGCCTCGGGGGCTGCGTGGTTGGGTCGCGACCGCCACGCCCCTGGCCCCTGCGGGGTCCATCCTGGCGGACCCCGCGCTTGGGGTACCCGCAGCTCCGCTTTTCTCCCTGCTTTTCTGCCCGAATCGCCCGGACGAGGCGCCTATTCCCGGCCTGGCCGGCAGGCGGCAACCACGGGGCGGTGAGCCGAGGACCCGGTGGCCCGAGTCCGGGGCAGGCTTCTGCCCGGCGCCTCTGTCCACGCCCCCTCCTCAGACTCTTACTCGGAGGCGGCACAGCGCGCCGCCGAGTTCCCACCTGCCAGCAAGGGCGCCGCCGGCGGGCAAGCCCATTTTCTAGACGAGTCCATTGAGGCCCAAAGGACCGCGCGGATGCGGACTTGAGCCCTCGGCCTTTTAGGAGCGGCTCAGCCCAGGGCCCCGCCCCTCCCGAGCTGCCTCGCGGGCCCTCACCTGCCCAGCCGCACCCGGACTCCCTGCTCACTGCCTGTCTCCCCCATCAGCGCACCCCCGGACGCTATGGCCCACCCCTCCGGCCGGCCCTGCGTGTAGGATGGTAGCACACAACCAGGTGGCAGCCGACAATGCAATCTCCACGGCAGCAGAGCCCAGACGGCGGCCAGAGTCTTCCTCCTCCTCCTCCTCTTCCACCTCCTCGCCCTCGTCCGCGGCCCCGGCGCGCCTGCGGCCCTGCCCGGCCGCCCCGGCCCCGGCCCCGGCCCCGGGCGATACGCACTTCCGCACGTTCCGCTCGCACGCCGAGTACCGGCGCATCACCCGCGCCAGCGCGCTCCTCGACGCCTGCGGCTTCTACTGGGGGCCCCTGAGCGTGCACGGAGCGCACGAGCGGCTGCGCGCCGAGCCCGTGGGCACCTTCCTGGTGCGCGACAGCCGACAGAGGAACTGCTTCTTCGCCCTCAGCGTGAAGATGGCCTCGGGCCCCACGAGCATCCGCGTGCACTTTCAGGCCGGCCGCTTCCACCTGGACGGCAGCCGCGAGAGCTTCGACTGCCTCTTTGAGCTGCTGGAGCACTACGTGGCGGCGCCGCGCCGCATGCTGGGGGCCCCGCTGCGCCAGCGCCGCGTGCGGCCGCTGCAGGAGCTGTGCCGCCAGCGCATCGTGGCCACCGTGGGCCGCGAGAACCTGGCGCGCATCCCCCTCAACCCCGTCCTTCGCGACTACCTGAGCTCCTTCCCCTTCCAGATCTGACCGGCCGCGCACCACAGCATTAACTGGGTCGCCCTTTTATTATTTTCTATTATTAATTATTATTTCCCTGGACCATGTGGGTGCCCTCCCCACCTGGGTTGGAGGGAGCGGGCGTAGGGGGCGAGGCGCCTCCTGCCCTGGGCTGGAGACCAGGCCGCAGACCCCTCCCCAACTCTTGAGGGTGCCCCCTCCTGGTGCTCCCTCTGGGTCCCCCTGGTTGTCGTAGTAGCTTAATTTAAAACTGTACGTGGGGCCAGGGCCTGAACTCGTACCTCCTACCTCTTCATGTTTACATATATCCAGTATCTTTGCACAAACCAGGGGTTGGGGGAGGGTCTCTGGCTTTATTTTTCTGCTGTGCAGAATCCTATTTTATATTTTTTACCACCAGTTAGGTAATAAACTTTATTATGAAATTTTTTTTTAAGAAAAAAAAAAAAAGGTTTCTAGAGCGTGTGCTTTGGTCAAAGGTTTTCCACGGTTCTGAGTGGGTCCGGGTTCCTAATATTGACCTGGGTGTGGCCGAAGGTGGTGTTTGGCCCCCCAGGTTCTGTGGCTGGGAACCTCACATGGCTTCACCCTCAGCTCTCAGAGGGAGAGGAACCCTTGGTCTAGTTTTGGTGTTGTGTGTCTGGCAAAAGGGTACTTTGTGTCTGAGTACTTAATATGTGCCAGGTCCTATTCCGTACTTTATTTACATATGCTTAAATTTACTTAATCTATAAAGACTACCCTATGAAGCAAGGCTCTTATCCCCATTTTATGGAAGAGAAAACCGAGGCAGGGTAAATTTGCCTGTGGTCATTCTGGTGTTAGAGAAGACACTTGGGCCTTTTTTTGGCCATCCTCCCAGAAATCTGTTTGAAATGGATGACAGAGGGGAAACTTCTTTCATTCTGTGACCACAGCTTCTTCCAGGAAGAGGGTGGGGGTGGGAGGGTTGATGAGTTTTTGGAAGGAGGAGTGGTACATTCTGAAACTCGGTATCTAGGGAGACAGAGATACTGAGATGGGATGGGGATAACAGGGTCAGGTCTGAACTTCCTTCTTCCCGCCCTGTCTTGTCTCTGTGTACTTTTTGGTGAACAAGCAACTTGCAACCAGAAAGACGCTCTGTGGTCTGCGGTGGCAGGAGGGCCCTGTTGGCAGCTCTGGGCAATTCCCCTTGCCGCTAGGGGCCTCAGCGACTGCCTCTGAAATGGCTTGCTGGAAGAGGCTGCTTTGCTGTAGCCCTCAGCAGCAGGCACTGATGCATAGTGGATGGAGTAGGTGATGTTTTCCAGAACTGGGGCTGGCCAGCATCACTAGAGAGTGCCCAGGACATGGGTTTTATGGCTACCCTGGATCTGTGGCCGGTCTGCTGGTCGCTTGGGGCTGTGGTGCTGCGCCCGGTGAATCGAGTCATTTTCCGGTGTGGGGCTAAGCGGCCTCACACACACATTCCACTTCAATTTTGGAACTCCGGATGGCCCTCTGCAGTCCTGGACATGCTGATAATGGAGTGTCCTGATATTTAATAATACCTTTCAGACTTTAAACTGCAGCATAAAATGAACTTGATAGCCGGAAAGTTGGCGTGGCCCAGGCTTGTCTTGGGGATTAAACAGGTTCCAGGCCCCAAGGTTAAGGATGGCCGGGAGAGATTTAGGATCTCAGAGAGCTTTGGCAATTTCATCCTTTAATGAGGCGGGCTGGGAGGGAAGGAGGGAGGGAGATGACGTCTGTGTGCCTCCAAGGAATCACTGCTTTTTCTTCTTTGAACCGTCTCCCATCCCTTTGTTTGTGCTTTGTGGCCCAAGTCTTCTGTTCAGACTCTCCTGTCTCCTGCCCAGCTCTGGCAGGGCAAGGAGAAACCATGAAGGCAGTGCTTGGGCATACAGCAAACACTCAGTGAGCGCTTACTGTATGCTGGGCCCTGCGCTACTTTGTTTAAGCCTCTCAACTGGCCTGTGAGTTAGAAACCTCTTCCCCCTTTATATAGATGAGAAAACTGAGGCTCAGAGAGACAAAGTAGGGCATACAGCAAGTGGTGGAGCCAGGTGGCAAATTCAGACAGTACTGCTTCAGAGGCTGGGTAGCACTAGCCTCCCGTGAGGGCCTAACAGTCGAAATAATAACAGCAGCAGCTGCTAACATATCAGCATCACTGGGAAGGCACCATTCTGAGTGCCTAGTCACCTATATTAAAACATTCAACCTTCACCTGAGCCTTAGGATTTAGGTGCTATTAACTAACATTCCTATTTTACAGATAAGGAAACAGGTCCTCATCTAAGGAGGGACAAATCACAGTCAAGTTTATAATATTTCCAGGGTTTTTCCCCCTCTCAAAAAAAAGCTTAGAAGTCACATCTTCATTACCCAAACTCAAACCCATTTCCCTTAGCAAAACAGCTGAAACTAAAGCTCCTCTACTCACACTCCCCAGACCTGGCCCCTTTTCTTTGTGAGTCATTTTTTTTTTTTAAAGCTATACTGCCATACATGGAGTGACCTGCAATGACCTAGAAGCCCCCGGGAGCTGCACTCCAGACCCCGGGTAACAGATGGGCCCAGCAGTGCAGACGCTGCAGGGCAGGAGGGCGGGGAGGGGGGGCGGCGTGCGCCGTGTGGCTTCCCCGAGGTGCAGGTCCTCTAAACCTCAGCTTCGTGATTCAGCAGCGCTGACGTCAATTTACAAGAATGAAAAGTGAGAGGAGGACTGGTGTATGTGTGGGCCTGGGCTGGGGGCCCAGGTGCGACTGAGGTATTCTTCCCACTGACGGCGGGCGAGCGGGGCAGCGGCAGGCAGGCAGGATGGCAAAGGGGCCGCTCTCCAGGCTGACGGGGACTGTGGGCCAGGGTGAGAACAGCCTCTGACCTGCATCAAAGCCTTTCCTCAGCGGGGGACTCTGCCCCCCATTTCAGAGATGAGGAAACAGAGGCCCAGAGAAGGACTGTCACTTACCTAGGGTCACACAACTCAAAAGTGATAGCCAAGACTTGCACCAGGTCCGCCGCACTCTCAAGGCAATTGGTTTCTTCAAGAGTGGAGGGGGGAAGAGCGAGGAACCCTGTGAAGAGGCATTTCCCCAGGTCTCACTTCAGCCTGCTTGATCTTCCCAACTTGAGTGGAACTGTTAACTGTCCCCCAGCCAGGAAGCGCAGAGCTGAGCCTCTTCCTGAAGCGATGCACATAAGGCATTTAGCCCAGAGTCTGGCCATACGTCTCCTAATGATGTGGTGCTCAATAAATGATAATGAGGTTCAACGAACACACACTGAGCACTGACTTATGTTCCAGGCATTACTCTTAATCCCAGTGGATACAGGAATGGACAAACTCGAGGGAGTCTGGCCTCTGCTCTCACAGAGTTCACGTTCAGGGCCTCTGACAGTAACTAAATATGAAACTAAAGGCACCAGAGCATTCCAAGTAGTGACAGTACTCAACATGAAAACTTTACTAGGTGGTGGGACAATGGACTGGGACTGTTTCAGAAAGAAAGGTCAGGAAGGCCCCTCCAAGGTGATGTTGCAATTGTGCCTGGAATGACAGGTCAGAGCCGGCCAGGGAGGCAGGCATTTCAGGTAGAGGGGACAGCAGCTGGGAACGAGCTCAGCCCAGTCCAGTGGCTAGTGGAGCTGGAGGGGAAGGGACTGAGTGAAGGCGAGTGGCAGGAGGTAAGGTGGAATGGGAGGGCAGTGAGCACAGTCACTGGTGAGGAGTGTGGATTTGAACTGTGATGGGGAGCCAGGGTGCGACCTGATCTAATCTGTGCTGTGATCAGATTCCCTGACTGCTTCCCTGCCTTACTATATGTGTATCTGGGGATGGGTGTGTGTGTCTGTGTATCGAGGGGAGGGGTCATTCTTGGTCAGACCTCTCAGCTCCAGGTGTGTGTGTGTGTTTGTGTGTGTATGTGTCGAGGGAAGGGGTCATTCTTGGTCAGACCTTTCAGCGGGGGTGTGTGTGTGTGTATGTGTGTCAAGGGGAGGGGTCATTCTTGGTCAGACCTCTCAGCTCCAGCCAGTTGGGCCACAGAGGGGCAGGACAGTCACAGGACCTGCTGGGACTGGTCAGGGGATGGGTGTGTGTGTGTGTGTCTGTGTGTGTGTGTGTGTCGAGTGGAGGGGTCATTCTTGGTCAGACCTCTCAGCTCCAGCCAGTTGGGCCACAGAAGGGCAGGACAATCACAGGACCTGCTGGGACTGGTGCTGAGACCAGATCTGGGGCAGGCATCAGTCAGAAACCACAGCTATGATCAGATCCCCAACCTAGGTCTGAACAAACCCCCAGCGCACAGCCCCACAGACTCCAGTGAGGGGCTTCTTGGCGCAGCCGGCCTCAACTTTGGGAGAGGAAGCAGGACCTAGGAGGAGGTGGGCTGGGCCTGACATAGGGTGGGGGTGTTCAGTGTCTTTGCATCCCCCTCACCCGGGCAGCCCCTTCACCTGGCGTCCACTACCATCATCCAGAGACTCCCCAGGGCTCGAGGATTCTAGGGAATAAAATAGCCCTGGGCCGATTCGGGGGGTCTCAAGATCCCTCAGAGAGCAGAGTGCGGTCTTCAAGGAAGCCAATTCACACAGGAACAACAGTGCCCAAGATGGGCACTCAAATGCTCCTCTCACCTGGTCCTCACCCTCAGCCCACAGGGGAAAAGGATTCCATGCTTGAGACCACCTGTTTGGCCCCGATACACCACCCTCCTCAGAACAGACACCCCCGCGTGAGGGTGGGCATCTCCAAGCCCCAGTCCTCCAACGGCTCCCAGATGCGCTCAGGGGAAGGCCCAACTGCCCCCCAAGGACCCACGCGGCTGGCCTCAGTACTCACCGCACACCCTCCTGCCGCTGGGCCTTTGTACATGCTGTTCCCTCGCCTCATTAGGTCTGAAGGTGAAGGGCTTGTCCTCGTAAGAGTGCCGTCGCCTCAAGGCCTCGCCGGGCCCCAGGGCGCCCAGGCCACCGGGTGCCGCGCACTGATGACGTCACTGGCCGCTCTCACCTGCTCCTCGGGTCTTGTCAGTGCTCGCCTCCTTTCGACTGTGCTCAGGCTCCCCAAGGCCCCTCTGAGCCGGGGCAGGTCCCCCCGCCCGCGCTTTGCAGCCCCTCTGGCCTCCGTGTGGTCCTAATGCCGCTCTGAGCCTGCTACCCGCTTGGAAGACCTTCCTGCCCTCACCACCCACGCAGAGAGGGCCGTCAGGTCAAGCCCATAAGAGCGGGATCTCCCAGCCCACTCTGGTCTTAAGAGACCAAAAAGAGCTTCCAGTCCATACCAGTTCGCACCCGCCACTGCTGCACCAACTCACAGAGCACCCAGATCCTGAACGCTAGCTTTCTCACCTGCAAATGAGATTAATCACTGTACCCGTCCCGTGTCCTTGGAAGGAAAGTTATGACCAACCTAGGTAGCATGTTAAAAAGCAGAGACATTACTTTGCCAACAAAGGTCTGTCTGGTCAAGGCTATGGTTTTTCCAGTTGTCATGTATGGATGTGAGAGTTGTACTGTGAAGAAGGCTGAGCACCGAAGAATTGATGCTTTTGAACTATGGTGTTGGAGGAGACTCTTCAGAGTCCTTTGGACTGCAAGGAGATCCAGCCAGTCCATCCTAAAGGAGATCAGTCCTGGGTGTTCATTGGAAGGACTGATGTTGAAGCTGAAACTCCAGTACTTTGACCACCTTATGCAAAGAGTTGACTCTTTGGAAAAGACCCTGATGCTGGGAGGAATTGGGGGCAGGAGGAGAAGGGGATGACAGAGGATGAGATGATTGGATGGCATCACCGACTTGATGGACATGAGTTTGAGTGGACTCTGGGAGTTGGTGATGGACAGGGAGGCCTGGCGTGCTGCGATTCATGGGGTTGACTGAGCAACTGAACTGACTGACTGACTGACTGACCCATCCCATGGATGAGATTAAGTAAAAGGGTAACTGTACAGTGTTTAACACTTGATAGGTCTCCAATAACTAGGGTTGGCCTCTCTGCTTTGTGATCCTTGCCTTGCTGCTGTTTTAATATAATGTCAATTACCGAGCAGCTAAAGGATGCTTATACTTTGCCAAGGTTGTATCACGGAGGTGGGCTCAGAAAAGTGAAGGAATTGCCCACCCCCCACCACAAATGTGTAAATGGCAAAGCCACAGTTTGACTCCAGGTACTTGATGCCCAAGGTCATGATCTTACCAACTACCATGCTCAGGGGTTCATGGGTTAATAAGTTTCTTAGACTTAGGGCCACCCTGGAGGATGTTCAGAGCCATACAACCAGCCAGGGCTCAGAGCACCTCATTCATCCTTTTCTCCCTAGCACAGGCTGGGAAGCCACATGAGACAGTGGGCTGGTAACTTATCTGCAAGGATGCATCAGAATTCAGCCTAGGAGAGGGCTGCTTGATCAGAAGGGACCCTGGGGGGGTGGCTCTGGGGCAGTCCTGGCAGTAGGCGGTGGGGGTGGGGAATGGGTGCAAATGCTGACGGGCAAAGACAGGAATGGTGTGAGCCTGACATCTGGATCCTGCGTTAGGAGGGTGACATTCGGGGCTGGCCCTGCCTGGGGACCTGCACCGGCCTGTGGGATGAGACACTCCCTCCCATACCTCTCACACTTGGGTGCAGCCAGGAGGCGCATCCAGGAGCAGGGTGGAGAGGAGGGGATGAGGCCTGGGTGAGTCAGCCTTGGTGGCCCCTCCCCTCAACGTTTCACTGTGGGAGGCGGCACAGAGGAGCAGAAAGCCCGGGGACCCAGGCCCTGGTTTCGAGTCCTGTTAACAGTGTGACTGTAGTGGCCTCATCTATAAAACCAGAATTAGATTCAATGCTGGAGAAGACTCTTGAGAGCCCCTTGGACTTCAAGGAGATCAAGCCAGTCCATTCTAAAGGAAATCAACCCCGAATATTCATTGAAAGTACTGATGCTGATGCTCCAATACTTTGGCCACCTGATGCAAAGAGCTGACTCATTGGAAAAGATCCTGAAGCTGGGAAAGATTGAGGGCAGGAGGAGAAGGGGACAACAGAGGACGAGATGGTTGGATGGCATCATCAACTCACTGAACATGAGTTTGAGCAAACTCCGGGAGATGGTGAAGGACAGGGAACCCTGGTATGCTGCAGTCTAGGGGGTCACAAAGAGTCGGACACGACAGTGACTGAAGAACAACAACAAGACTAAATGAGACCCACTCTGCCTTGCTTCAGAAGGGATATGAGAATCAAATGATTTATTCTAAGTGGAGATAACTTGGATCACCACGCAAATATAGAGGTTACAATAATTATTACTATTTTGCTTCACACAGGCTGCCCCGTGTATTTGAGGGAGCACAGCCATGAAATCAAGACAGACTTGGTTGCATTCTCAACTTGTCATTTGCTACAAACAGTGGCGGCTACCAGCTCATCATGTCAATTGCTCACTAGACACTAGGCATTGTTCTATGTAATTCATGCATTGTATTTCATTTAACCCTCACAAAAACCATATGAAACAGACACTATTATTGTTATGATACTCATTTTTCAGATGAGAAAACAGGCACAGAGAGGTTAAATAAAGTGCCCAGGGTCATACAGCGGCTATGTGGCAGAACCTAGGAGGTTCCAACACAGGCAGCCCGATTTTACAGCCATCCCCTTGCTTTAAGCTGAGGTTTCCAAACTGTCAGACACCGGAGATCCACTTTTATGATTTTTACCAGCTCTATCCAAGTTGCAGCTGTTATGTTATTTAATGATATTCTTCAAGTTACTCGGTCTCCTTAGGTAAGTTTTATTCAAAGGGAAATGTACCATTACTATACACAGAAAGCCAGAGTCACCTGCCACAAAAAGATAACCCTTGAAAAAAATGCAATGAAATTCAAACAGTGTTAATAAGTTTTAGCTAGAGATTGGTGTCTTGCTCTGCTTTCAGAGAAGGTCTGCTGTGTGTGGGCTTCCCAGGTGGTACAGTGGTGAAGAATCCACCTGCCAATGAAAGAGCCGAAGGAGATGCGGGTCCATCCCTGGGTTGGGAAAATCCCCTGGAAGAGGAAATGGCAACCCACTCCAGTATTCTTGCCTGGAAAATCCCATGGACAGAGGAGCCTGTCGGACTACAGTCCATGAAGTTGCAAAGAGTCGTACATGATTGAGCATACACACAAACAAAAAAGCCTGTTTTGTGTGTGGTTGAAAGCGAGGGAGGGAGGGGAAGAGAGAGACATGTCAAATGTCAGAGAGGTGTTTAAGACACAGTAGCACCCATATGAGACTGTCTCCTTTACTTGAGTGGAAAATAGGAAATCTTTCACAGCAACTCAATGTTTTATCAAAATGTCCCTGGGTCTCACCTAAAACCATCATCCAGGGACCCTCCAGGACACCCATCCTGTGCCTGGGAAACTGCCCAGCTTGGCTGCCAGCTGTGTGTTCATGGGCAGAGCCTTAGTTTCCTCATCTGTGAAATGGGTAAGCCCTCAGATCTCACAGGTACAGAGTATTAAAAGGAAGTGATTATAAGCACAGAGTATGTGCTCAATATGAGGCGTGACGCTGGCAGGGCAGGGTGGACCCTATGTAGGGGGCCCAGCTTGGGACACTAAAAATGAAAGCCTAGCATGGCCAGCCTGGGGTTCCTCCGTGCTGCTAATCTTATCTTTTACCAAGTTCCCTCTGTGCTAACCTGGTGACAGGAAGGGCCACAGTTTCTGGAAGGTGGTCAAAGCGAAACTACCTCGGCTCCTGGCGGGAGGGGGGCCTGGTGGGCTCCCCAGCCAGGTGGGCAGGGCGTGGGGGTGGGGCGATGAGTGCAGGCTTGAGCTCAAAGTGGACCTCCCCCTCACTGGATTGCAGATGGGGAACTGAGGACCAGAGATGTGTGCTTGGCCCTTTTGCAGGCAATGGAGGGAATTGGGTGTGACCATCTAAACTACTGATTCGGTCACCTGACACCCCAAATCACACACACATACCCTTGGCTCCCCCTGCAAGTGAGTATTGCTACTGGTTCCCCTTTATCTAGCTCTTTCTAGATGGGTATCCTTATTGTCTCATTTTACAGGCTAGGCCAGGAGAGGTTGAGCTCCTTGTCTAGATCTCACGGCTGCTGAAAGTCACAGAAGCAGTACTTGGACCAAGTCAGGTGACCCCAGAGCACTCTAGTGGCTCCCAGCTGCTAGACACTAAAATCTGATCCCTTTCCCATGGGCTCTGAGGTCCTTCACTGCCCAGCCCCACTGTACATTTTAGCCCCTCACTGTCCCCTTCACATTCCCCATCTGCTTCCATCATCCTCTGGCCTTTTGAGCAACCCAGGGGAAGTCTTTGATGTTTCTATTGCCTTCTCTTCACTTGGCAAACTCCTGCTCAAGTCTTCGAAGCCCAGCTCAGCCATCACCTCCCCCAGGGAAAAAAAGGGTGTCAGTCAGAAAGAGTGGGGGGGAAGCAAGGGGTGCAGATAGGCAGAGCGAGGGAGCAAGAGGCAGAGCTGGAGAGACAGGGAGTGGGAAGAGGAGAGGAAAGACAACATGGGAAAATAGGAAGGAAAGAGAAGACAGAGAGGTCTTAGGAGTGAGAGAAAGGACTTGTGGATGGATGGGTGAGTGAATGAATGAGGGAATGAATGAATGAATGGGTGAAGGAATAAATAATCCAAACCATGTACAAAATAAAGGTCAAGTGAATAAAGAGGAAGCCCTGATGGCTGGGCCGGGCCGGGCGGCCGTTACCCCCAGCGGCCCCTGCTCCTACCCTGACAGCTGTGGATGGGGCAGGGCAAGACCTCTCTGGGCTCCGGGCCTGGTCTGGGTCCTGAAGTGCTGGCTGTGTCCTTGACATTTGACAATGCTGTGACTGTAACACCATCCCCTCCCAGCCAAGAACCTTGGGTACCTATACTGCTCCAGATGAAGAAAACTGAAAGTAAAAGCCATCCTGAGCTTTGCCCCAGTCTTCCTGTCCCTCAGCTGGTTTC